TTGGAGCATTGGGATGCTTATTTGATATTATTGTTGACGGGTTTGTAGTATTCTTGGTGTAATGGAGAAGTTTGAGTGTAGTAGAAGCTCGAGGAAACGGCAGTGTGACTCAAGTAATGGAAAATCTCGAATATATTGCTATGTAATAAGTCGCGAACAAATGAGTTAATTAGTCAAACAGGAGAGCACGAAGTTTCCTTTCTTCCTATTCAGCAATCGATACAGAATCTAACTTCATCGAAGGTTTTGTACATTTCGAAGAATCTTCGTGCGCGATGGGTTAAATAGATATTCAGCGAATCAAATTCATTTTCCCAAATACTGCGGTAATTAGCAGTTGCGTAGCTAAGTGTCTTTATATAAAAATAAGAGTCTCGTTGACAGTATGCAATGTTAACGCGTTAAACCGTGTCGGTCACTGGTGACTGATGCTTCTGCATAACTAGAAAACAATCGTAACAGACAAGATAACCGATGTAAAATGAAAATGTTTAATAACGTAACTAAGTTGATAACAGTGTAATGCAAACATTGTAACTCCAAGTAATTAATAATTGTTCCTCTTCTTTGCTACAAAAGAAAAACTACGGGAAAACGCTTAAGATTTTCGTGGCGCTTAACGTGTTAACACATTGTTGACCGGTCACAAGTTAACTTGTCTTTGCACTTGTTTTAGCTATTTCAATTTTTCAAACACAGGACAATGTAGAACATTGCAACAACAAAATATTCAAAATTATATTTCAATTCACTATGTGTAAATAAAGTATATTGAAGTTTATTTGGATTGTCTCACTTTCATATTTAATTACGAAATAACAACCGATTACATAAGATAGCTTCTGCATGGAATTGCCGATCAACAATGTGTTAACCAATGAATCGTGATCGTCCTGCGCCGATGAACCGCTGAAAACGTACGAAACTGTTCCCCGAACCGGCGATATTAAAATAATTCCGCATTCGGAGGCAACCGGAAACAAGTTTCTTCTCGCAGACCGTTGCGCGTTCTTTGTGGCAAAGCGCGGCCGTATCGTTCCCAACGAAAACGAAGAAAAATACGGTCGGACGTTGCGCTCGCGGATCGCGGCCGGGCCGCGAGCAACAGATTTTTAATGAATTCCCGTGCACGCGAATTCTCCTACGGCGTAATCAGTTTAAAATTATTTCGGTTATCCGCCGTTTCCCCCGCGTAAGCAATTAGTTAACCGGACGGCCGGTTTTCTGCAAAGCGAACGTTAACAATTTACAACGGGCAACGCTGGCGAATTCTTTCGGTCGAAATTAACGGGAATTAATAAACAGCCGGGCGAACGACGGGGGACGGAGGGGACATTTCGCATGAAAGTTCCCGGAAAAGTCGGATTAAATTTCGGAATCGAATAAAGGAACTTTGCGGGACGTTCCAAGGCAACGCGGGCCGCCGTTGTGTATTCATTTAAATTTCATTTGGACGTTTCTGGTCGCGAAAATACCACGCTCGCAATCAACGGGCGAAACATTTTTCGTGCTTTTGAGCGGCAAGTCTGTATGGCAATAACTTCTTGTTACGTGGAACGTTATTTCGTAGTAGGACGACGATGTTGTTGTTTGATTAGCTTGATTGTTTGGTGTTTGATCATTCTGTGAAGTTAAGTGTCGGCTGCAACGATTGTAAAGGGTTAAAGCTTGGAATGATACTGATTCTTTCAACGAGTTCTTTATTTTTCTAGAGAAATTATAATTGTGTAATTCTTCTTTGTTCTGCTTTGGTTTTTCATTGAAACACCCTGGCTGCATTCCTTCCGCGTTTGACGAGTACACGCTTGATTTTTCATTTCATTCTACGGTTAACAGGTCGAATTCGGGGATAATCGTTTAATTTCGAGGTTCGCGTGTGCAGTTGTGAAAGATAGTTTCTTTTTATTGAGCAAATTTGAAGGGAGATTTTTTATATTGGGTGTGGAAGTATGCAGGGAGAGGAAATTAAGTACAATAGAGAGGTAATAGGAATATTTGAACGCAATTTTTTATTCGAGTGCTCGAGTGTGGCGCAGCAGGACCATGACGAAAATCGACCGTTCATCGAGCGTCAATTGTCTCCAGCGTAGAATCCAAAAAGCGCATGAAAGGACGGGTCCACGCTGGACGACTCAGTGTAAATCTAAACGTCGCGCAACTCGCAAATAAAACATTTCCCACGTACTGCTTCTTTGCTGCATTTTTACCTTCACCACACTGTAATATTTCATTTTAGAAGTATCAATAATACTAACACTTAGGCGACCGCCTAAAAAGAACTGTACAGCCTCCTCCATTATCTCCAATTGAACTCATTCAATTGATTCAGTTAGAATCTGTGTTTTGTAAATTTGATGAATTTCAAATAATCCCACTTCAAGACTTACGAAGTAACAAAAGAAAAGATAAATAAAATAAAAGGCAATACGTTGCTAAGTGAAAAGTGGGAGATCTCCTCATTCGGTTGGCTAAGTGTTAATAATAAATAGTAATCACAATAATAACAAGCAATAAATATGAATATCACTAATCAACAATAGTAATCACAATAACACCAAATAACAACAATAATGAATAGTAACCACAACACCAAATAACGACAACAAACAATAACCACAACAATACCAAACAACAAACGTAACAATAAAACCACAATTTCCCCGGAAACGTCAAAACGCCCAAGAAAAGTCATTCCCACCCCAATCCTAATTCCCAACGCCACGTCTAAAAATTCAAACCCCAAAGATCCACAATCCAACACCCGATCAACCAACCTCCAAACAGAAAGCTCAAAACTACAAACACCCCCACTCGGCCAACTTTTCACTCCCCAGAGCAACCTGTCCCCGATGGAAGTTTATTTTTATCGTGCAAACATCATTCGCCATAACCTGATCCCTCGTCTCCTGACGCCGGGCAGGCAGGGCAGCGCAGCGCAGCGTCCAGTGGACCCTTGAGTAACGCCACGGGCCACCTGTACGCAACCGGTCCCGTAATTATGTATGAAATTCATTAGCCCGTGTAAATGACCGACACAGAGATACAGGGGAAACCCGGCGGGCCGGTCGGTCGGTCGGTCGGTCGGCCGGCTGGCTGGCACCCACGCACAGCACGGGTGCACGCTTCAACAATGCACGGTCAGCGGTGCATACGCGGCCGGGTCAAACACATGGCTGCGTTTGCTTGGACGCGCTCCGGGCTGTGTGCGCAGCCTGCCTATTCGTACGCAGTCTTGAACCTGCATACACAATTAGACCGCCGCGTCTTTCCGGCGCTAACTGCGCGCGTTTACGGATGCATTCGACGCGATGCTGGTTGAGTAGCTTCTCGGTGTCCGGATTGATCACCGTAGAAAAGAAAATTCTCTGACTTCAACACGTTGAGCGCCGGCGACTTAAGAGACATTTAACCCTTTGCGGACGAAGATTCTTCAAAGAACACGAAACCTTTGGCAGATTCGGCCAAATTACGTAACGGATGCTTAAATAATAGAGAAAAAGGAAACTATGCACCGATCCCTTGCTATTTGAGTTATTAAATCATTCATTGAGTTTGCAAATCGGTATTCAATATATGAAAGTTTGATCTCGGCGAAACGTCAACATTCGCCCGCAAAGGGTTAAAGCCTGAGCGCCGGCAACGTATCGGCCACTTAGCCCAAACGCTGGCTTAATTCGTTTGTATCTGATCAATGAGTAGCTAGAAAAGATATTCAAAACATTATACATTTTCGTAAAGTAGTATATCTTAATTGCATATTCGTCAAATCCAGAAATGAAAATCCAGAAATCCGCATTATTGCGGGGCCGGCGTTCAATGTGTTAACACGTTGACTGCCACGTCGGTCACCGAAGACCGGAGCTTTCAAATTATTTCCCAATAGGTATAATTTGTCAGATAACTAATGTCGAATGGAAATATTTCATAGCGTAAGTTAGTAAATAACAGTGTAACGTAAGCATTGCGATATTAGATAATAAGTAACACTTCCTCTTTATCTTTGTTACAAAAGAATAAGCGATACATAAAACTCTGAAGGTTTTCGTGGCAGTCAACGTGTTACCACTAAAACTACCGAGCTGAATTGACTTTTTGAAATTTTTCTACAGAAACTCCAAGAGTGTGTCTATTGAATCTTTGATTGATTTACAATTCAGTTTGCGTGTTGCTAAATCAATTTCTTTAATAATTTATCAAAGAAACACTTGTTATCTTTTAATAATTGCGAAAAGAAGAAATCAGAAAGGAGGCATTTTGATCTATCTGGTAGTTTTAGTGTTAAATGGCTTTCGGGTGAGAGCCGTGTCCAGGAATTTATCCCCAACGGTTCGCCATCATTGTAGCTGGCTTAACCAGTTAACTGTAGAATTTAGTTGGAAAAACCTCTGGTTCTGCGCGCAATAAAATCGAAAAATGGAGCGTGTACTCGTCGAACGCAGGACGAATGCACGTAGAGTATATTTTAATGGAAGATCGAAGCGACACAAAGAAGAATTACATGTTTATGTGAAAAAATAAAGAATTCATCGCTGAATGAATTACTATCGTGTCAAGCTTTACGATGACGTGTATACTCGTCGAACACAGTTAACTGGTTTAATGAGGAATAGGTCATTGAACTCTAGGAACAATAACTTTGTTTCTTAACTTATACATGTTTTATCGTTCAATTCGTCTCAAAGAATGTCGCCAACTTAAGGAGTTCACCCTTTGCACTCGAGAATATTTTTCTCAAGAAATATTCATTATTTTCTGATGAAATATCAATATTTTTACAACTATCATAAAGAAATACCTGGTATAAATGAAGTGACAGAATTATTTTATTTCGATGTTCCATGTGTTGATACATTATATAAAATTTAATATTGAATTTTTTAATATTGAATAGTTAAAGAAAGCTTCAGATATGCAACGTTAAATTAAAAACAATTCTGTCATCGTTGTTGTGTTCTGTATTATTCTTTGACTAACATTTGCGTTGCTCTTTCGTGTTTCAGTCGCTGGAGGGTCAGAACATCTACAACTCGTGCTGCACGTTGCGCATCGATTACAGCAAGATGCAGAATTTGAATGTGAAATATAATAACGACAAATCCAGGGACTACACCAATCCCACGCTGCCAACAGGCGACGCGAATTTGGACGCAGCGTCGTTGGCGCTTGGCGGCGAACTTCTTCCTCAGTTGCTGATGGGTGCTGGATCTCAGCCACGCGCTAGAATACCCGGTGAGTGACGACTGTTTACTAGAATCCTGTAAATTACGTTCTCACTCACGTTTTAAAACTATATTTCAATTATAATACAACATTCCAGAGTAAAGTTATTGCAGCCTATCATTCTTGAGCTAGAAATGTTCCGTAAATTAGCACTTCCTTTACGAGCGGCTTAGAAAATGCAAGGAGTACTTACAAATTTTGTAAAAGAAATCTAGTAAATGCTATTGCAGATTTTGAAATGTTATTTGTCAATATTCACAGTGTACTCACAGATTTTCCCAATCAGAAACAACGATTGGAAAATTATGGATTGTAAAGGTATTTGGAAACTAGAACCCTTTGAAGTCGTCGAATTAATTCTTTGACCCGCAACTTTCAACGTGCTTCAGAATTTTCTAGAAGAAAACCAAACACAATTCCAAATTTATAAATATTCACCAGTATTTACAGTGTACTCACAAATTTTCCCAATTAGAAACAACGATTGGAAAATTATGAATTATAAAAATATTTGGAAATTAGAATCTTTTAAAGTCATCAGACTAGTTCGTTAATCAACAACATTCGACGAACTTAATAATTTCCCAAAAGAAACCCATCAAACACAATTCCAAATTTCAAAATGTTATTCACTAATATTCTCCCCAATCAAAAACAACAATCGAAAACTCTATTACAAAACCGTTTAGAAACAAGAACCCTTTGAACTCACCGAACTAATTCGTTAATCAGCGTTCGAAGCCGTAAGACGTCCCGGTAACCCTCTCGTCGCGATTCATCGGCGACAGTACGACGGCAAAATAAAATTTAATTAACACCTGACCCAGCCGACAATAATAGTCGCGGCGTTGCACAATAACGAAGAAGCAACTGTCTCGAATTCGTCGCGAGTAAGTGGCGGCGGCGCGGCCGTTGCGGGGCGGCGGAGGCCGGAAGAAGTATCTATGAAATTAAATTCCCGACAAGTTAGTAACCGGGCCGGCGAGTTTAACAGGAAGTTTCCCAGAACGTGGCTGTTTTTTTCATTATGAAAATTGAATTCCACCGGATTTTCATCATCCGCGCGCCGTTATCCCGCGCGTTTCCATTACTCCGCTCGCATCAGCCCGCGGGGCTGCTCCCAGTTCGCTTTTTAAAACATTCCTCCTTTTTTATTCCCCTCCGTCCCTCCAGTTTCATCGAAGAAGACAGACAGACGGACGGCCGGGCGGGCGGGGATATTTTTGTTAACGAGTGCTGCGGACTTTTTCGTCGCAGCTCGCGACATACCTTTGATTTGTGTTTCAATTGTGATCGATAGAATCACTTTGCCAATAATCATTTTTAGAGTGTATTCTACATCTGTGTTTACTCTACAATAGACTAATTGATAACAGAAGAAGAATGTTTCATTTGAATTCAAAGGAATCGAGTGATATCTATGTTTGTTAAATTTCGTTTAAAATGTTCGGCGATTTTTCTCAAGTTTCTACTACAATTAAACCTTTCCATTACACCAAGAAGAATATAAAATTAACTGTAATATTATAAATAACCACCCCAATATTCCAATAATTATCCAGAATTCCTAAAACTCTAATATTAACCGAACAAATTCGAACTATTCCATAAATCAACGTTCACGCTGCCCCCTCTATCCGCCATTTTGTCGGTGACAGAAAGGTCCGAACGAAAAGGCGAGCGGAAAAAGTTTCGCGAATGATTCCGGTCGATTCGGACGTAAAGCGTATCGCGAAATCGAGCGAGAACCGTCGCACAGTTAAATTTTACAACGTATCCGTCGATGTTTTGCAACACGTAGCCCCCCACCGGCCATTGGTGCGGATCGATGGCCGCCGCCGCTGCCGGCCACCCTCTTTTCCCGGCCGGAACGGCGAATCGATCGATCAATTAGCCGTGCGATTTCCCGGCGTTCAGTCCATTAGAATTAATTATATTAATAGCAATACCCGACCCGTTTCTGTCATTCGAACGTTATGATAAATTGTTATTTCGTGACTGACCGCGAGTCGCCGGCCACCGCCTCGTCTCCCTGCTTCCAATTTGCCGGTCGTTTTCAGCTCCATTTTCGAGCGGGATCGAATTGCGTGCGGTCAGACGGTATTATTTCCTCGGGTAAATTAATTAATTGCGCTACAACGGGAGAACACGGGTATCCGGCGCCGATCGATGCGCCGACGAATGTTTCGACTTTGCGCCTTGTCGCCCCTTATATCTTCGGAACCTTGTTTTCGGCGGATTCTACCGGTTAGTTTGATTTCTCCTGTGTTAATTGTGGTGTTTACCTTGAAGAATCTCTCGTTTTGCGCATAACAAAATGAAAGAATGAAATGTGTACTTGTTGAACACAGAAATGCGGAGAAAATCAAAGAAAACCAAGGAAGAATTACACGTTTGTCTAAAGAAATAAGGAATTTATGGTTGAAAGAATGAGTATCATTTGAAGCTTTAAGATGACGTGGAGATTCATGATTTAAGATTAACTGATTATAGATAAGCTGTTGTTTTCGAATTTTATTAAGTACTTCGCTATGCTATGATTGATTTGTGAATTGATTGCCGCGTTTGATGGAATATGGGTTAGGGAATATGATTATTGTGGAATTGTGTTTTGGAGATATTTTGTCGAACTCTGAAATGTTGTATTTTTTGTTCCTAACTTTAATGTTTTGTATTTAGTTATATGTAACATTTGCAGTTTGGTCAGAAATTCTTGAAGTTCTTTTGATTTTGAAATAGTAAAAAGAACTATTCTCTATTGGAACTGGGAAATATTTACATTCCATACTTAACGTTAAATAATTATATTAAAAATATAAAGATTAACATTTTACATTTACATAACCTCAACCAGTTAACTATTGGTACGTGTACCTTACAAGAAAACCTTTTCAACCAAAACAAGAACAAATTTCTTTTCTTCATCCCCTACTTTCAGGGGTATTACAAAAAATATACTTTCAACCCCCAACTCCAAAGATTGTCTTCACCCGTTCAAAGTGGACAATAAGAAAAAACGTCAAATATTTTCTTAAATGGTTTATTCGGAGTTGTAAAACACATACTTTCAACCCTCATCTTTAACCCTTCGCACTCAGAAGTTTTTCACTAGAAATATTTAACATTTCTTGACGAGACAAAGACGATATTCTTTGAAACTACCTCGGAAAAAAATCACAAGTACATTATACAAAGTTCAACGTCAAATATCAAATTTTATAATGTCATTGCGTCTAATCAAGTAGATGGTCACTTTCCGAGTGCAAAGGGTCAAGGGATGTTTCCCCCGTTGAAAGTGAACAATAAGAAAGAACCTGTCAAATTCCATGAAAATCAACTGGTTGAAAAGGCGCCCTTGCTAGTAACTTCGTAATTCCGACCAGGCTGCAAGAGAAAACAACCTGCAACCCATCGAAGACAATTCTGGTGACCGATTCTAACGACATCTTGTAAATTTCCTGAAGTAGAGTCCATTGCAGGGGCACCGGGTGTGCTGCCCACGCCCTTCGCGGCCATGCACGGTCTGCCCTCGCCCTTGGCGGGCCCCTATAACGGGGTCCCGCCAGCCGGGGGCCTAGCCGGACTCGGGGGTTTCCATCTCAGCGCGACAGGCCTCGGCGTACGCGTGCCCACCAACGCACAAACTTCCGCGGTGTTGCTCGTCAGCAACTTAAACGAGGAGGTAAGTGCCGCCGATAATCCTACGCTGGTTTCGTTCATCGAGAACAAAGCACACGGGGTTCGTAGATCGAATCATGAACAGAGATCACGGAGGTTCGTGTGATATGCGAGACTATTTCTGGAGTAAATCAGACGAAACCACCGAGAAACGAAGACGACGAAGTCTGACACGTCGTCTCTGGCTGTTTCTCGGTTTCCTAGAGTTTCAGGGAAGGGTTTTCAATTGTCTTCGGGGGATTTTGAGTCTCGCATAAGAAAAGGTTTCCTTCGTGACTGTTTGTTTATTCAGTAGGCGCTGCCGCGCTCTCGGAATTGTTTTTGTTCGACACTGAGGGAAACGAAGTGTTTTCTGGACAGTATGGAATTTTTTGATAAGATGTTGATTGATTGTTACGGCGAGTTTGAGAGTTTTAAGGTTTATGGTAGTTTGTAGTGTTCGATTTGAGAAATTTCGAGTTCTTAGCAGTTTGAGCTAGTAAATTTGAGGCTTTCTGAGTTAGAGATGAAGGTAATTAGGAATCTTGGAAATCGAATGCCGATCTTGGGAGATCTTAATGTATAATATTGAGTTTAAGATTCTCTAAATTCACTGGACATTCATTTTTCAATCTGGAATTATTCCCGTTACCTCCAACTCAGTCTCAAACTTAGTACCTCAAACGATCTAAAACTCGAAGTTCCTCGAATCTAATACTATATTCCATCTTAAACTAAAAAACTCTCTACTCGATGTACAATACTAAATCTAAAATTCCCTAAAATCGTTAGGAATGAATCTTTTATATCTTCGTTCTGTATTTCTAAACGAAGCTTCCATTTCTCTCAGTGTCTATCTACGTACACGAAACTGGCTTAGGTACGTACATATACAACGAAAGTTACACGAATACTACGATACGATTAAAACGTAGTGCTACGTAGGCAACCCTTGCAGTCTCTCCATCCCTCGACGCGAGTTTCCCTTGCCGAACAGTCCTCGATACCTCGTTCTCCGTGCACGTGTTCGTCGCTGTCCTCTAGAGAACAGCGAATAAAAATCCAATGAACAGAATCTCGAATTCG